GTGATTAGTGCGGGCTTTGTGATCAAAGCACTAGATCACGGAATTCATTGTATCTTAGAACCAAGAAGTGGTGGATATAGTGAATTGGCTCTTGGAGAAAAGAGCAAGTGGAGTAGGAGGATTACACCACCTCGCCGAACCACTATAATTGTCTTGTGTTCTTTACTGCTTTCTTTACTTACAGCTCTTTACATATTCTCTCTACACGAGATATACTGCTCACACAATCTCACACACACTTTATGTTTATTTATTTCCGCTGTGCACCATACTCTAACAATCTAGTTAAGAGTTTTGGTTTATCTCTGGCTTAGCAATTGTTGTGCTGTGCGAAAAAGTTTGAAAGTCTATTCACCCCCCCCCCCCCTCTAGACTTTCACCTTACCTCTTTTGGGACCAACAATCTCTTTGCCTTGAATCCCTGAGGTTCCTCCCTTATGTGTTGTTTGTATGATTTGTTTGAGGAGTTTAGGAAGTGAAGGAGGAGCTAGCTAAGTAGAGAGGAAGAGGGGATCCATACAAGAGGAAGAAGCAACAAAGGTATAACCCCATGAACTCCCTCTTCATTTTTGGCTCTGTGAAGCCTTGATTTTTTATTAGAAATGAGTATAAATGTTGGATTTTTGTTGTGTTTGAGCTAGGAAGTGACCTATTATTTGTCTATGATGTGTTGATCATGTTTTGGATGTTTTGGACTTGCTTGAATGTGTTTTGCAGATGAAAAGAATCATCTGGTGCACACTATCTAGATGAATGTGACGGCCCTAGTCGCATCCCATCAAGGGGACCGCCAGCTAGTGCTGTGGCCAACCGAGCCAAGGACACGGCCCTAGGAGAGGGCCGTTGCCTATGCCCGGCGTTGTGGCGGATGGAGAGGGGCAGGCTATGAGGAGCCCTGCCCCATGGTCTCTGAGAGTGTTCTGTGCAGTGGTCGGGCCCTTGTGGCTCAGCTACGTGTCGTGTCGGGCCAGGCGTCACGGGCTCTTGTGGCTCGGTAACTCGGAGTCGTCTCGACGCACATTTTGGCTTTGATTTCATTGAATTTGGATTAGAAATGAGCATGTTATGATGGATTTATTGATGTTTTTGCTACACAGTTTGTATTTTGAAGTTCACTGTAATGAGGAATGCTTTGCCTTGTTGTCTGATGTTTATTAATGTGTTGAGTAGAGAAGCATGATCACTTTGAAAATATGATTTATTATTGAATGTTGTTTAGCATGAAAACATGAGATTGTTGTTATGTTATTTAGTATCTCTTTATTTATTGTGAAAGCATGAGATTTGTGTTAAGTGGAGTACTGGAGAAAGCATGACTATTGTGTTGATTTTATGAGTTATTAGGTTGCAAGCATATAGAAGTGTTTATAAGCATGATCTGATTTTGTTGTTTAAGTGTGAAAGTACTTGAAATAATGTGTGTTTGCCAAATGATTTTCAAAATCTATATTCTATAGTACTTTACAGGGTTGAGTGGTTTTATACTTAGCTTCGTGCTAACGGGTTTATTTTCTACTATTTTTATAACCCCTTTCAGGTGGGCCCAGTTGTTGAGCGCGCACGAGTAGTTGTAGTGTGTAGATGAGTTGTTAGATCTTAGATAGTATCTGTTTGGGTGTTTTTGACTAGATACTGATGTCTGATGTTAGTTGTTTGTTGACTGTTGACTTAGAGGGATCTTTTGTTGGTGCCGGACACCGGGGTCGTACCCCAAGCTTTAAGTTTTTAATGAAGTTGACTTGTTTAGTTTATTTCCCTTTTTAGTCTGTGTAGTCACCTCGAGTGGTGACTGTGGCAGTAACACCCGTGGGTTGGTTTTTAATTGATTTAAGTTAATGAAATCTTTCTTTATTTCTTGCTTAGCTTATCTTGTTAAAATAAGTATTTGGGAATTTAGATTAAGAAAAGTGGGGTGTTACAATAATTATTATTATTATTATTATTATTATTATTATTATTATTATTATTATTATTATTATTATTGTTGTTATTATTATTATTATTATTATTATTATTATTAAAATTGTTATTATATCATTATATATTATTATAGATGGTGTTATATTCTAAATAAACTAATTAAAATGTTTAATTATACAATTCTATTCATTTTTCAGAAAATGAACCAAACACACCAAGACAGTTTTCCAGAATGCAACCAAACACCAGAAAGGAAAATATTTTCCAGAAGTCATTTTCCTGTTTTCCAAACGGAACCTTAACCCCCTCAATAGTCTTTCCAAACTTATTAAACCTATCACCACCCCACTCCCTTAACCTTATCCCACAACGACGCAACCTCTCCTGCAGACCAAGACCCGCAGACTGTCCTCATGCACCCTTAACCACACCCCTACAACCCTCATCTAGCAGCCAGCCATTCTCGAAATGAAAAGAGCCCCTTCCCCTGCCCCCTTCCATGCAAACACATAAGAAGAGAACCAAATGTTCAAAAGCATACGTAAGGACATTAAGCACCCTAGCCACATTAAACCGTTCACACCAAGCCTCCTCTGCCACAGCCTTGTCAAGCGTTTCCTCCACCCACTCCCTCGTCCATCGCCCTCTCTCCCAAGTGAACGGATAGCCTACCATAGATATAGTAAGCAGACCACATGCCACCAAAAACTCGCTAAACCCCTGCAACAAGCTTTCAGGATGTGGGTGTAACCCCCTCTTCTCTGACTAAGCCAACAGATCATTAAAATCCCCAATCGCTACCCACGAGAGTGGTGACTAAGACTTTAAGCTTTTCAGGGACTCCCAAGCCTCCCTCCTCCTGCCCCTCTTTGGATAACCATCATACCCCGTTAGCCGCTAATCCAGCTGATATGGCAGGGAAATAACAAGGTCAATATGATTCCTAGAATATCCCACAACATAACCATGTCACTATACCTCCATAACATCGCCAATCCTCCACTCAACCCATTGGATCCACACCAAAGCTACCCTCATGCCCCAGACGTATCCTCGACCTCTCTACCTAAGCACGACTAATCTTCGTCTCCATCAAAAATATCACATTGGGCTTCTTACTGGCCACTAGACCTGTGAGCTCGCGAACTGTTCGTAGACTGCCCAAGCCACAACGGTTCAGTTGAGAATACTCATTGATGCGAGCTGGCTTAGGAGCCAGGACTCGCTGGAACAAAATAGCGATATAAAAGACACATTGCCTTAATTTGACAAGTAGATTGTGACAACTCAAAATTTAATTTTATAAATTTGGTTTTAAGAAATTCCAAAATAGTCATTTTTCACTCTATAAAAAATTTTGTGAGAAAATTGGTGTTTGAATAAATAATTTCGAGTCACTTTTAAATCAATTCAACACCGGAACTTAATTTAAATCTAAAATCCTAAATTTTCGGGTACATCGCGTACCAAGTTTTTGATCCAAAAGTCAATCTGAGGTAAACCGGGAGAAATTGAGGAACCTAAACTAGGTGGTTGTCTAGAAAGTATTTTTAGAAAAATGCATTCGGCCCCAAAACTATTTTAAATTATGATTTTAGACTTTGGTCCATGAAGCTTGGTGAACCACTAGATTCCACATTCTCATGCATGATATTTTAAAGAGCCCAGCCAAATTACCACTTTGCCCTCCACCAATCATTGATGATTCTCCTAGGGTTTAGTGCCACTATAAGATGGAATGTTTTCAGCCATTGCCTCTTGTTTTCCTTCCTGGTCTTCCCTACCTAGCAGCTCAGCAAGAAACCCAAAGAAAACACAGTAAGTGTTCCTAGGCCAATCTCATCCATTCATCTTCCTTTAAGGTCTTCATCCTCCTTTGTTTCAACCTCTGAGTTTTTATCTTAAGCTTTGTTTGTATTGGTTGTTGAGGTGTTTAAGAGATGAAGGAAGTAGTGTTTGAGTAGAGTGGAGGCTGAGATCCACACAAGAAAGAAGAACTAGAAGAAGAGGCAACAAAGTTATAACCCATGGACTCCCAAGCTATTTTCTAGACTCTGTGAAGTCTATTTTCTGGTAGAAATGCTAGTTATTGAAGTGTTTGAGCTATTAAGTGATCTATTCTTGGTCTTGGATGTGTTGTTGATGTTTTGGAAGTGTTGGAATGTCTGAGAAAATTCTTGCAGGTGAAAGGAGTTCACTGGTATACCAGACAGTGTGCACCAGTATAAATCACGGGCCTAGCCAACGGCCCTCTAGGGAGGCCGTTGGCCAGCCCTGTGGTTAGCTGGCTCTAGGGGGCGGCCCTAGAAGATGGCTTTTGCCCTGAGCCGTGCAAATGATGGGCCAAGGGGCGGGACTCGTCAAGTCCCGCCAAGAGCTCTGTTAAGTAGAATCTGTGTAGTGGCCGGGCCCTTGTGGCTCAGCTACGTGTCGTTTCAGACCAGGAGTCACGGGCCCTTGTGGCTCGGAACCTCGGGGCCGTCTTGACGCACGTTTAGACTTTGATTTCGTTGAATTTGGAGAAGAAATGAATCTTTGTATTAAATTTTGTAAAAGAAATTGTTGCAGAAATTGTTGAATCATGTTACAGTGAGTAGAAATGAGAAGTATTAGTTTTAAATTATCTATTTGATGAGCAGGTTATTATTTGATGGCTAAATAGAGAAGCATGAACACTATTTGTTGAGTTTTGCTAAAAAGGCATGCTTTAAGTGTCTATTATGATTTATTGAGAATATTGCCAAGTTCCTAAATGTTGAAGTGTGCAGAGTATGTCTATCTTAGATGTTAAATTACAATGAATGAGTTTACATTGAGTAATTTGAGTTCAAGTGCATGTTAAATACTTGCTAAGTGTTTGTTGAGAAGATTTGTCAAGTTATGATCTACAAGCATGATTTAAGAAATTATTGAGAGTTCACAGTGAATTGGAGTGGAAGCATGTTTTACAGTAAGTGTAGTAGAGACTTTGTTAATGTCGTCTTCGAGGAGTACGCGAATGTCTTCCTCCTTCAAGATACTGTAACTTAGCTTTCGGGTAAAAGAATCCTCGACGCCGTCTTCGTCGGAACCCTCATAATCTATGTTGAAATCTCCATCATCTACGTCGGAGTAAGCCATATCCGAATTGACTTGCTGGTGCCGAAACCTTCGATGGCGGCGGCTTTGTAGTTTGAACTCCGACTGGTAATCTAGGAATCCCAAATTTGATTTTCTTGTGTATTACGTTAAGGATTCCGGAATTACTAGAAGTCTAGGGCGGCGAAGGAAAATAAGGAGGATATTCATAGAATCATAGTACGGTGGAGACTCTTCATTTTATATTTACATCATCAATAAATAATGAAAAAAAAAAGTCAAATAAATTATTCAACTCATCGTCAAAATATAATTGGTCACTATTCACTAAATTGGTACAATTAGGTAACTTTATAATGATTTTATTTTGATAAAATTTCACCTTTGATTCATTGACTACTTTACATGTATCAATTTTGGTTCTTAACTATTATTATTTTCAAATTAGATGTATGATTATGTAATTTGTATCACATTTTATCATGTCATTCAATTTTTCAGCTAAGTTTTCGACGAACTATTCCTGAAATTTCAACGAGAAAAATAAATTTTCCGACAATAATTGGCCGAAAATACCCTTTTAATTAGAACATATTATTTTTCTCGTTGAAATTCCGACGATAGTTGGCTGGAAAATTGGATGGCAGGACTAAATGTGATAGAAATTACATAGTCATGCAGCTAATTTGAAAATATAAATAGTCAAGGATCAAATGTGATACAAATTACTTAGTCATGCATCTAATTTGAAAATATTAATAGTCAATGATCAAATGTGATACAAATTACATAGTCATGCACATTATTTGAAAATATTAATAATCAAGGATCAAATGTGATACAAATTACATAGTCATGCACCAAATTTGAAAATATTAATATTCAAGGACCAAATTTGATACATGTACAATAGTCAAGGGACTAAAAGTGATATTTTATCTCGGAATAAGGGTCAAATAGGCCATCGAACTGCACTCAATAATGCAATTAGGCCACCGAACTTTAAAAAGCTACAATTAGGTCCCCGAACTAACCAATTCTATTCAATTAGTCTAATTTGTAGGTTTTTCAGGTTGTTAGCAGGTCACCTCTAATTTAAAATATTTTAAAAAAATTATTACTTAAAATAATTATTCAAAATTAAAAAAAAATAAAAAAATAAAAAAATAAAAAAAATAAAAGAAGTTATCGTCTCCGGCCATGGAGACGGAGTTAACTTCTTCGTCTCTGGCCGGAGACGAAGAAGGTTCCTTCGTCTCCGGCCAGAGACGAAGAAGTTATCTTCGTCTCCATAGCTGGAGACGAAGATAACTTCTTCGCCTCCGGCTATGGAGACGAAGATAACTGTCTCCATAGCCGGAGACGAAGAAGGTTTCTTCATCTCCGGCCATGGAGACGTCTCCGGCGATCTGGTTTGTGTTTTTTTTTTTTTTTTAAATTTTAATTATTAATATTAAATAATAATTTTAAAAAAATATTTTGAAAATTGGTGACCTGCTAACCACTTGAAAAACCTACAAATTGGACTAATTGAATAGAATTGGTTAGTTCAGGGACCTAATTGTAGCTTTTTAAAGTTCGATGGCCTAATTGTATTATTGGGTGCAGTTCGATGGCCTATTTGACTCTTATTCCATTTATCTTTAATTTTCTTGAGTACTATGGACTCAATATTACAAGCTAGATAGTATCTGTTCAATATACTTTCCCAAAGAAAAGATATAGGTGTCAACTAAGCACAAGGTACTTTTTTTTTTTTTTTGAAACCGAGCACAAGGTACTTGGCATAAATAGTTAATTTCGAAATGATTTTTGACCGTTTATTAATTTCTATTTTTGATTTTCAATTGGACAATTAATCATCTTTAAATTATTGATTATTGATATTTATCAATTTTTAACATCGACTTTCAATTTGACTATAAATTGTTTATTGACTATTAATTTTGTTCTAAATGTATTCATCCAGTTAAATATTTATTTAGTAAACATTAAATTTAAGGCTAATAATGTAAAAAATTAACTAGCAGAATTGCCTCTCCAAATCTACATATTTAAAGGCCATCGAACAAATAATATAATCGCTTCAAATTTGTTGCAAAAACTTATCAATATCTTGGTCTAAATTGTCTTATGCATCAACATATTCTTCATATTCCTATTAATGATGAACCCATCCGATGCATTTGATGAAGTAAATACTCTCAGGAATGCAATATGTATAAAAATGAAATATAATAGCTCGGGTAAAAGAGATCGAGGGTCAGAGGATCCCGAACATATCAATACTCTAGAGAGAGAATGGGGAAAAAGTCTCATTCCACAAGCATTTAGTTTGATATTTATAGGAGTTTCGGGGCCTTAATTATTTGTTTTGTTAATATGTTATTGTTATTATTGGAATAAGGATTAAATAGGTCATCAAAGTACACACAAAATTTCACTTGAACCATTGAACTAAAAAAAACTACAATTAGGCCCCTATACTAATGAATACCATGCAATTTTTTCAATTTCTCAGTTTTGGAGCAACCTCAATTGTAGTGATTTTTTATGCATATTTTTTGCAAGTCAAGTAGGAAAGATGAGATAGAGAAAAGAGAGAGAGAGAGAAAAACAATTATGACAAAGAAAAAAAGAGCACTCATTGACCAGCCAGTTGGCGTGTGCCGTGCTAGACGCGGCAGTGAGCGAAATGCGCAAATTGCGGTGATTTTTTATGCATATTTTTTGCAAGTTAGGTAGGAAAGAGGAGATAGAGAAAAAAGAGAGAGAGAGAAAAAAAACAATTATGACAAAGAAAAAAAGAACACTCATTGACTGGCCAGTTGGCGTGTGCCGTGCTAGACGCGGCAGTGAGCGAAATGCGCAAACTGCGTGTATTTCCTTCATTTCTGAGGCCTACAAAGAACTTGTATTTGCAAGAGGAAAAAAAAAAACCCCTCCCTCCTATTAGCACACAAATTTACCCCAAGTTTTTTATTCTAAAAATCACCCCAAAAGAAAGAGTTAATTTCATTTGTTGCGATAGATTTATAGGTGAGAGTTCAATTTTAGTAATTTTTCTATCAGAACATCCCCATTTGATCCTAGTATTATTGTGGTATGACCATTTTTTGTCTTCCATCAACAAAATCGTTGAAATGCCATTAAATACAATGACATTGTGATCTTTTTAATACATAGTGTGTTGACCCATTATATTTTTATATTCATTTATTTTTTGAAAAAAATTAATAATTGAAGATCGAAATGTCATTGTATTTAACGGCATTTAAACTGTTATATTGATCGATGACAAAAAATGGTCATGCCACAATAATAATAGGACTAAAAGATGATGTTTTGAAAAAAAAAAAAAAAAAAAAAAAAAAAAAAAAAAAAAAGTGGACTGACACCCATAAATGCATGACCAAAAAAGAAATTCAGAGGTGAAACTTTGGAAGAATGACCAGGGATCGAGTCTCACCAGCGGCAGTGTGGGAGCAACCTCTCAAAGTGAGGGGGGTTCCTTGTGCGCAGTGAGCACGGTCAAATGCTCTGTCTTTTGGAAGAATGACCAAAAAAGAAATTAACTAAAAAAAACACTAATGTGGTTGCTCTTACATGTTCTCATCATATTGCCATGTCAGTTGGCTGCCAAGTGGCAATTTTAATTACTTCACCTCAGTCCCTTTCTGTAGGCAGCTTCACCGTGCCTTCAGTAGTTTAGCCGCATAAACACCTCATTAATCCACCGCCTGCACGCCGGAGAGTTTCTTGTAGAAGCCATGTTGTGCCCATGTCTGACTCTAGTGAGTGTAGGGGACTAGAACCTAATATGTAAATGTATAACCTGAATTTTCGACGACCCAGAGATCCTTCAGAAGTCCCTTAATTGCTCTCTCGTAAAGTGTCGATTTTTCAAGAATCTTGCCATCCGTAAGCAATACCGGCCAACCTATGCAACTGTCGATGAACACTATGTTGGAATCTACGACGCCTTGGACTGTAACAGAGTAAGTTGTCTTTTGGTTTTACTCTGTGTGGCGCTTGTTGAAGGGCACTTTCGGGGTGACGATCGGAACGCGGGTGGTGGACATTGCTCCGACGACATTTGGGATGCCCGAGAATGATGGTGGGATAGCGGACATCGCCTTGACAATTATTTGGTCTAAAATATAACAACAAAAAAAAAAGAATTAATATATATAGTTAATTAAGTGTATAATCTATAGTTTGTGGATTGTAGTGTAATGTTACCTTGTTCATAATGGCGAGATGTAATGTATTCCCCATAACGATTAGGCTCTAGTTTCATCTCACCGTTAAAGTAGGTGGCATTGTTGTAGCCATAGCAGAAAAAAGTTTCAAAAGTGAAGAAATCAGTATGTCTACAAAGTACAATATCTCCAGGATATAAATCATTCTTTATCATGAAATTAGATGTTCCCGTAGTAAAGTGTAGGTTCTCAACGGTAACTTCAGTTCCTACCGAGCGACCATGGCACAAAATAGCGATATTTTTTTAGAACCAAGAGCTTCAATTAACTGTAGAAATCAAGAATAGAGTTAGGAGGATATCTCTCCCAATACATATGACAAGAGCATGAACCAACCGCTTTAGCAAGCACATGAGCAGGCTGGTTTGCCGTTCGTGAAACGTGTCGAAAGACACAAGAATAATACTGATTACCAAGCAACTTACAAGAATAAACAATTGAGCCAAAATACGAACGATCTAAGACATTTCTATTAAGCGCAAGAACTAAATTAAGACAATTATACTCGAAGCAAACATCCAACCATCTTTTGGCCTTAATCCAAGAAAGGGTCACCTTACACGCCATTGCCTCAGCTAGTAAGGGGTCGTCAATACAATCTAAGGGTCAATTAGTAGCCGCATCAAAACCTCCACCTTCCAGAAAAGAACAGGCCCCAAAAGATACAACTATAAGCTCTGGTGATATTCTTGCGTCAAACCTACATATTCTTCCATCGGGTACATACCCCGTGTAAGAGAGAGCCGCGTGGACGCCATTAGAACTAGACAGCGAACCAGCAACATTGTACCATGACTGAACCGTGGCTCTCGCCTTGCACAAAATGGTACACGGTCGCCATACCTGTGCCTCCCACACCGCCTTGTTACGTGTCTCCCAAATGGTGTATAAAATTGTTGCCACCTCTACGCGT